AAGCTCCCGGTGCTGTGAACCACCGCTAATCTCAACTGAGAGAACTAGGAAAGACACACATCTCCACTTTCAAGTGTTTACTGGGTGACATCACTCTGTCGATTTAACCCAAGAGCTGTCTGGATTATCCAGTAAATGTCACATAATAGGACTTGAGTAGCTTAGATAAAAGCCTCAGAAGCACTGTGAGTGAATTCATACTCCAAAACAAATTTCCCAGATGAGTGCATAATCTTAACTCCACGTCATATTACTTGGCGTTCTTTTAGGTACAGCCCTAAGCTCATAAGTGACAATTGTCTTGTACAGATGATGGTCTTGTTTTAGAAAGTCAATCCACTAACGTGAGACATTATGTGCTTAAGAAAGTAAAAGATTGACGCTGTTGTCTTAGGTTGGTAAAACAAACATTACAATATTAATCCATCAGGGAAATGCATATCAAAACAATGAGATACCACTTCACACCCACTAGGACGGCTACAATCAAAGAGACAGATAATAACGAGTGTTGGCGAGGACGTGGAGCGATTGGAACCCTCACACATTGCTGGTGGGAATGTAAAATGGCGCAGTCGCTTTGGGAAACAGTCTGGCAGTTCCTAAAAAGGATAAACATAGAGTTACCATATGACCCAGCAACTGCACTCTCAGACAAATACCGCGAGAAATGAAAATGAAAACAGATGCCCCCTTGCACACAAATGTCTGTAGCAGCATCATTTGTAACAGCCAAAACACAGACACAACCCAAATGAAACGTTGTGTAGACAGATAATGGCACATTATTAGGCACTAAGAAGAATGAAGTTCTGGTACATGCTGCAGCACGGGCGAGCCTTGAAAACATGCTAATGCTAAGTGACAGAAGCCAGTTACAAGACCACGTATGCATATTTACATGAAATGTCCAGAACAGACAAATCCAGAGACAGAAAGTAGGTTAGTGGTTGCTGGGAAGGGAGGGGTTGGAAGAAAATAGTTAGGGAATGCTACCGGACACAGGGTTTGTTTTTGAAAATATCCTAAAATTGATGGTGGTGATGGTTATACAACTTTGTGAATATATTAAAAACCATTTATTGTGTACTTTCAATGGGTGCACTCTATGGTACGTGAATTATATCTCAATAAAGTGTCTAAGGAAAGGAATATTAACACATGAGACAGAAGGAAATAGGATCGTCTAACTAGAGTAAGGATCACTTTGGGGACCCTAATGTCATCTTCCTTCACAACATTCAGTGTGTAACCTATTAGCTAAAGGCTCAGGAAGAGCCTTCTAGAATTTATTCTTCTAGAAGAATAGCCTTCTAGAATTTCAGCGACCTCACTAATGTTCAGTGTAATCCTGCTACTCCTACTAATCAGTACACTGACAATTAAGCTCTCCTCCTCTCTATATTCCCTACAGTAAGTAGTATGGAACTTTCCATATAGTAGATGCTCACTTATTTACAGAATCCCTTTTACATACGTGTCCAAAAATAACCAGCTGGAGTCAGCAAATAAAAAATCAAACCAAGTGCACTTTGCCCTGTCTGGGGACAGCTGATCAGCACCACTAACAGCTACCTGACAAACTAAATCTGGGGCACATGGAATGCAATCATGTCCCTTAAATTTTAGCCAGTCCTGGTTACAACAATTAAGACTCATGCTCCTCAACTGCTCGGTGTGTATGTCCCTTGATAAAATCGGAGACTTCCTGGGTAGGAGTTACTTCTCATGTGGATTAACTGACAAGATCCGGAAGAGTAAAAGGAAGGGGGCATTCTATTTCTCTGATATTTAATGCCAGGAAGTCCCCAGGAGGTCCTCTGGTTTTATACTACAGCTTAGTGTTGAGGATGACGACTTGTAGAGCTAGTCTGCCTGGGTTTAAATTTGACCTCCACCATGTATTACTAGCTGTTTAGCCTTGGCACACATTATTCGACAGCTCTGTACCCCAGTCCCACCATCTGTAAAGTGAGGACAGTACTAACACACGCCACACTAAGATTTCTGTGAGGGCATAGAACATATAGAAGGATGTCTGGAATATAGTAAGTGCTCAATAACGTAAGCTATTCTTGTAGTAAAACTTATATTTGCAGAGCTCCGGACACAGATCTCAGGCATAGATAGCCACTGTTATAAGAGAGGACCACATGTTATCAGACATAAACCAGACTCACTGGACAGATCAAAGTAAAGCTACAAAATCGCACTCTTTCCTCCATTCCTGGTTGGGAAATGCTACTCCAGACTGAAGGAGGTGTGCAACAAATACAACCTACCAACATTTACATTTTGTTTTTCATACTGTAGAACCCTCCCAGAAGAGAGGAAGATATCCTTTGACGGGGATGTCACGACCACAGCTGTACACAGGATAAGAGGGTAAGAACTACCACCACTGTAATCAGATACCAGCAATTTTTAGAATCTGTATGCTTTTAATTTTCTTGTGGACTTTCCATCAATGACAGGGAATCACAGGTGGTTTGTAGAGGTGAACACCATTACCGGTGGTAAGAGGCTTCTGAGAGACAGTTCCTAAATTCTTTAACTTTCTTCTTTTTCTTCTTTTTTTTTTTTTTTTAAATAAGTTATTTGGAATCATTTCAAATTTTATCAACAAAATCTTTTGAAACTACAAAGGGAAACTACATTTCCCTTTCCACATGTTTCTCACAGCTTCTTGAATCTGCGCATGGCTAGCATGGCAGACACTGAGAATACTCACCAATATCCACTTTGTCTTCTTCCTCCTGGGTCCCTAAATATACATTTTCTCCCCAGCCTTCCCTGTAGGTAGATGTGGTACATGTCCCAGCCAATGAAATGTGAGTGGAAGTGATGTGTGTTTCCTTGCGTAGACCTGACCCAACCTCACTCTTTCCCCAAGGACCAGCATTAATGGAGGGACCCCAGGAGGAGGAGGGAGCCACAAGATGGAAGGAGCCCGGGTCCTTGAATAACTTTATAGAGCAGACCTCACCTGGATACACCCTTTCCATCATATTGATGAAACACATCCTGGTGGGCCATCTGATCTTGCCACATTCCCCATTAGAGAACATGTCCTTTGCATTGTGTTATTTGTAATCTCAGTCCAGATCTCTCTGCAGAGCTGGGCAAAGTATAGCTGCTACTGTACACTTAAACAATCATTCACTATCTCAGAGAATTATTTTATAATTATATCAGGTCCTGGGCTAGGAGTTGACCAATTTAAAACTGTCAGATAAAATCAGAAGACATCAGCAAATATGAATTATATTTATTTATAATTTTTAGGTAGCTCTTTATAGCAATCTTTCAGTAGCTCACGTATTTAATATAAACCACTATTTTCTTTATTCAATTCATAAATGGAATAAAATCTAAGTGGAATCTGTAATAATTACTGTCTCCAGCCTCTTGGGATGAATAAGCAAACCCAATATGACCACCATCGACTACCTTCTGATAGTGTCTATTCTTGCTTAGTAACTCCTTTCTCTCATCTTTTAAAAATGTTCTTAGTATTTACTATAGTTATAGCTAAAAAATATTTGCTTGGTTATTGACTACTTTTATTATCAAACTGTAGTTCCCAGGAAGGCAGAGTAAATCTCAGTTTCTGTTCATCCAATAAATATTTACTGAATGCCTACTGTCGGGCATTGCTGCAGGTACTGGGGAACTGGACATAAACAAGGTATGGTACCCAGCTTCGATGTGCCTATGGTTCGGTGGAAGAAACAGGCAATTGGCCTATAAATAACATATATTGGGATAAATCCTATGTTGTACTTTCCACTTCATGCGCCCTTGGCCTTGGTGGTTGTGGGGCTGTCTGTCTGTGTCTGATGGCCCAGCCTGCTAGAGGAACGCCTTTTTTGCATTCCTATGGTTACGAACGTAACTATATTTATATCACACTCTTCACAATTGCTTGGACCACAGCAGACTACTGACCTATGTTGCATCAACCAACTTCTCTCTTCCGAGAGGCTGGAATTGGAACTGAGCAATTCTAATTCAGTCTGAGCTCTTTAGTTGAACTGAAAGAGGATCTGTAGCCTATCGAGTGCTGTGTGGTGACCATCTTCTGCCAGACGGCTGGGCAAACTGAGAACACTAAGCTAAAGACAGAGAAGAAAGGAGCAAGGCATGGAAAGAAGTAAAGATGAGAGATTTAATGATCTGAGAGAGACCTGAAAGCCCATTTCATACGCGGGTTCTACTCCCTTTTCCTATGAGACACCTGTACTTTATGGACTTTCTTTCGCTATTTTTTTTTTTTTTTAGCGCTGAAGCTATTTGTTAGTGTCTTATGTTTTCAAACACATCTTAATGGAGACATTTCTATTTAATATGAAATGTTAATAATTCTACTTAATGTCACTCATTTTCATAGCATAGGATATATGTACTATCACCCAAAAGTGTAGCTCCTTTTTCTATGTTATAAACATTGCATCTGTTGGATTTTAATACTTAGGAACTCTAGCAGTGTTTCTCAGGTGCTTGCCTAGACGTTTCTCTGTTTCCTCACTGGTGATTTTATACCGCAGACTCATTTCTATTCAAGGGCAGAACATCAAAGGCCAACATTCTTTAAACTCCATGAAAAACACTGTCACATGTGTACACCATCTTTTGTGGCTAGTTAACATTCAGGGGAGAAAATAATTCTTCTTATAAACATCAATGGTGTGTTTGTACTCATAAACAAAAAAGGCTTTGAGAACGAATGCTTTGATTTGAGCTCAGTAAATTGATCAGCTAGTCTGATTAACAACTGCTAACTGGAGACACCAGAATTGGAGCACACCTACAATTTGTTGCTTGAAGGTCCGACTCAAGAAAAGGAACTTAAACATTTATAGAACTTCAGCTTTACATGTATATTTATGTTACATTTATATTTAAATTTTATATTATACACTAGAGGTTTCTCTAACAGCACACCTATAAACATCTCCCACTTTCAAAGCACGTTTCTTCTTTGCTCCTCGCAGATATGTCGGGCTCCGTGAATATAAGGGAAGTAAGACCCTGTCTCTGTCCTAAATGAGCTCGCTATTCTGGAAAAGACAGATGGGAAACAGGAAACCGTCAGGTCATGCTCTGATAAATGCCATGCTCGAGACACCAGTGGGGATGAGAGGCATCTAATCTGTCCTGAGGTAAGCCTTTGGGCTGAGTCCTACAGAATTAGCTGGGGTTACGCACAGTAAGCGTAGAGACAGGGACAGGCTTGCTAAGAAAAAGGAGCTCATGTACTGGCAATAACGTGAGGTAAGAGAGGGTCTACATGCTAATATCCAGGGCAACGACTGTACCAACAGAACGCTTTGGACTGCTGCCTCTATTTTCCTCCAAAGCTCCTGTTTCCAATATGCTTTTCATGTGTTCTGATTACTCTAGAAATTCTGATTCAGCTCAACAAATATTTATTGAGAACTTAGTAAGTTTTAGGTACTTTTTAGTCCCTGGGAGTACACAGATTGAGTAAGACGAGGGAAGAGTACTTGTCCTGAAAACGCCCAGCCCTGGTGGGGAAGGCAAATGCACGGCATCTGGAGACGGTTCAGAAGGACACATGCATATCAGCAAAGCCTGACATGAGCCTTTAAGGATGAATACGAGCATACTAGCCATGGGAACCGAAACAAAAGTGAGAGAAGCATCTCAGGACAGGGAGGGATGTGAGTAACACTGGAGGGGAAAGGACCAGGGCACAGGGAGAGAACAGACCCGACAAGCAGCGAGGAAGCAATAGAACTGAAATGGGATGGACGCGAGCGAGGGAGGGGGTCATCTATCGTGACTCCGTTTTTTTTTTTTTATTGAGTGGATGATCCATTAACTGAGGTAGGGACTGCAGAAGGCAGAGCTGATCTGGGAAGGAATAAAGGTCATGGTGAAGCTGCAGCGGGGCCACATCCAAGTGCAGGCAGAAGCAGTAAGAACAGGAGTGTGGCTAAGGAATCTTACTCAGGAACACGAACGCAGGTGAGCTGAAATCACGATGGCTGACACGAAGCCAGGAGAGCCAGGGTTAGGGAGGCCAACTGAAGCAGAACCCTTGAAAAACAGTACAAGCAGCTCAAGGAGTTCACAAAGGAGGCGAAGTAGGGCGCAGTGAGTTTCCAGGATTCGGGAGTCAAAACTTTAAATGAAGCAGACTCAGTAAGATGCTGACTGAAAAATGTGGCACTCTGCAGCTGACCGGAGAGATCTTCCAGAGAGGGCTCCGTGGAGCAGCAGATGGGTCAGGCCGCCATGAAGGAGGAGTGAATGGAAGGGAGGAAGTGGTCCCTGGGTATTCAGATCACTCTTGTAAGAAGGCTGCCAGAGAAGGGGAGGAGAGAGAATGGCAGTCCCGATCTCTCTCTATTATCATACTTTTATTTATTTTTTTAAAAAGTTTATTTATTTTTGAGGGAGAGAGTGAGAGAGCACAAAGGAGGAGCAGAGAGAAGGAGACAGAGAGAGAGAGAATCCCAAGCAGGTTCCACACTGTCAGTGCAGAGTCCAACATGGGGCTCGAACTTGTGAACTGTGAGATCACGACCTGAACTGAAATCAAGACTCAGATGCTCAACCAACCGAGTCACCCAGGCGCCCCTCTATCAATAGTTTTAAAGGAAAAGATGAAAAGATTGAGTGGGTTTCCAGGCTGAGAGGAAAGCCGGCAGAGATGGGGAGACCAATGGTATTGGCAAGACATGACTGAAGGAAGTAGTCCTAGAGGAGAAAGTTGTCCTGACGAGCTCATCTACTTTAACATATTTTACCTTCTAATTGTCTCTGGCCAGGAGAGTCATCAAGCAAGGTATGTCCGAGGGTCAAGCATCTGTGGGAAGCAGTAGCAGCGGGCAGGAAGCTGTGGTGTTGGGCTTGGAGCAGCCCTGAGAACAGGAGACAAATTCCCTATCTTACTAATCCTGGAGGCTCTGACTTGCGCAATGAAACCTCATAAGAGAAGGCAGGTGTCGTGAGATTAGAAAGTTCACCCCCTCATCTGTATCGCCAGAAATTCTGTAATAAACGACGGAACACAGCCCCCAGTCCTGGGGACTGTAATCTCTGCACAAACAGCACTTTCTTAGGCTGCAAAGGAGTCAGATTTGAGTTTGAGCCTCAGCATTGCTACAGATCAGCTACCGGGTTTGGGCAATTTCTTTGCTCTAGGCCCCAGTTTCTTGACTTACAATGGAGCAAAGTGACTGATGCTACAAACCTAGATTGTAAGGCATAAGCCAGTTCACCGGCCTGAAGGTGCTCTGTAAGAAACCACGCTCTCTGCAAATACACGGTGTAGGATGCACTTGTCAAGATGGGATGTGAGGTCTCAGAAAATTGGGCAAAGCCCGAAGAGATGGCTCATGAATAGTTTTCGTTGTTGTTGCCCTTGGAAAAAGATGTATCAATTACAAAGGAAAGCGTTACAGCAAAGACCTTCAGCTTTCACTGAAGAGCAATCCCTTTTAATTTTGCTGGTGGTCTTGCAATCCAGAGGAGCCCGAAAGTCAGGTGCTCAGAGCAGAATCCCAATGCGTTATCCCAGGCACTGGAGCCTGGAGAAACCAGGGCTGCCAGGGCCACTGTCCCTGCAGGCAGTGGGCAGCAGGACACAACAGAGGCTGTACACATAGGACTCCGAGCTGAATCCTCATGGTGAAGGGCTCAAGTTTGAATCAAGACAAACCCGGGTTCGAAATCTGGCTCGTCACGTATTAGCCATGTAACCTTGGACAATCCAACTTAACTGAGCTTCTGTTTCCTCATCTGTAAATTGGGGTAACAACATCTACCGTGAGAATGCTGTAATGATTAAATACAACAACGTGTCTGTATCTGTGTAAGTACACACGCATGCATTTGTGTGTGTGTGTAATTCCTGGCATATTTATTATAAGTGCTCAATTAATGGTAGCTGTTATATTGGGTCTGTTGTTGTAGGCTTCACAGAAGCTTGTTTTCACACACAGCTGTTATTTATCGATACCTACTAAGAGCTTTACAGGTATAGTGTTAGCTAAACATACATGTTTAAAATACAGAATCTAGGGGCACCTAGGTGGCTCAGTTGGTTGAGCCACTGACTCTTGATTTAGGCTCAGGTCATGATCTCACGGTTCATGAGTTTGAGCCCCTCACTGGGCTCTGCGCTGACAGTGTGGAGCCTGCTTGGGATTCTCTCCCTCTCTCTCTGCTCTTCTCTGGCTTGTGTGCACATGAGGACTCTCTCTCTCAATTTAAATAAATAAACTAAAAAATAATCTTAAAATTTGGGGCACCTGGGTGGCTCAGTCAGTTAAGCATCCAACTTCAGCTCAGGTCATGATCTTGTACTTCCATGAGTTCGAGCCCCGCACCTGGCTCTGTGCTGACAGTTCAGGGCCTGAAGCCTGCTTCAGATTCTATGTCTCCCCCTCTCTCTGCCCCTCCCCTGCTCACACTTTGTGTGTGTCTCTCTTTCAATAACAAATAAACATTAAAAAAAATTTTTTTAATCTTAAAAAATAAAGTATAAAATCTATTATGTCACTTGAACTTTTAAAACCAAGAGCAAAAGACTATGTCTATTCTATTTTTCTCTAGATCCTTGGGGATCATAAAGTGCCCAGCACAGGGTGGGTATTTAAGAAACATTTGTTGAAAGAAGGAAGAAAGAGAGGGAGGGAAGAAGGGCAGAAAATGTGGAGGGGGGAAAGAGAAGGAAGGAGAGATGGATTTGGAGAACACTGACTCAGGTGTTAGGAAATTCAAGGACTGACAAAAAACATAGACAAAGCATTTCTGAGCTACTGAATGAATGAAGACTTCTTATAAAAAAGTCACTTTCTTGTGCTGATGTGATTTATTTTTACTCCTCTAAGCTTTAGTATAATCTTTCTCTCCATCTGGAAAGTGGGAATAGACCAACTATATTTCAAGTTTGCTAACAAAGATTGCTTAAGGTAAATATTTGCGGCTTGCCAAAGCAAACCATACCATTTTAGTTTTAGGTTGTTTTAATGATAAGCTCCTTCAGATCTAGTTCCATTGATACTTTGTAGCACAGCAATGGAAGTACGTTGGACTCGAATCCCAACTATATTTAGAATCCATTTCACACGGCATCAGTCAAGCAGATGTGGGGCCAGCTGCTGCGAATTCTTTCCTAGAATCTTACTGAGATGGAGATTTTAGTACGATTTTAAAAAATAAGTTACACAGGTGTCATCTCTGAGTCAATTAGCACATTAGCTATAAAAAGAATAGGCACAAATTAGGCGCTCTTCCCACAAACTCCGAGACAGGAATAGGATTTTTTGCTGTTTTGATCAATCTGTTTTCATTTGATTGTATTAGGTTATTTTTTTCCCACAAAACAAAAATAAAGTTCTCCCTGGACTGTGGCAGTACAATTCTTTTCTCCTTCTTGCTGTTAGTACTTATTCTAATATTATCACAGAATAAAGTGATTCAAAAAATTCCTTTCTTTGGGTTCATATTCAGGTGATATTGACCGAGCATGGTGCAGAAGCTCTGGAAATGCCTCCATCTCCATGACGTTATTTTTTCCTAAGCAATTTAAAGATATCGAAACGAACCTGAATGACCTGTCTTCGAAAATGTGGTAAGTCCGAGGAACAGCTGAAAGTCCTGAAAGCGTGTGAACCTAAGTATCTTGGGGGGAGGGCAAAAGTCACTGGTTTAGTGGTTCTGGACAAGGCTGGAGTGTCTGCCGTCCAGTTTCTTCACTTCTCAAACAAGGACTCATGGCTTGGATCCTAGGTGGCTCGCTACAACGTCCTGTGCTCTGCCGGGGACCATGGCCGTGGCCCTGCCTCAGCATGCCACTCGGAGCGGTAGCCACAGTGAGAACCTTTTCGAAAGCAAATCAAATAAAAGAATTGTGGGAGTTGAGAAAAATCTCTCTTCAGGGGGTATTTTTTAAATAAAGTGGGAGTGCCCGGGGGCGCCTGGGTGGCTCAGTCAGTGAAGCATCTGACTTCGGCTCAGGTCATGATCTCATGGCTACTGAGTTCGAGCCCCGCCTTGGGCTCTGTGCTGACAGCTCAGAGACTAGAGCCTGCTTGGCATTCTGTGTTTCCCTCTCTCTCTGCCCCTCCCCCACTCATGCTTTGTCTGTCTCCCTCTCTCAAAAATGAATAATAAACATTAAAAAAATAATAAAGTGGGAGTACCCAAAAGTCAAATTTTCATTCTGTAAATTTTTATTCTAGTCATTCTAAAGCCAATAATATTTTTTCTTTTAGAGAGAGAGAGAGAGAGAGAGAGAGAGAGAGAGAGAATCCCAAGCAGGTTCCATGCGCAGTGTAGAGCCCAACACGGGGCTCAATCTCACAACTCTGGGATCATGACCTGCACCAAAATCAAGAGTAGGACACTCAACTGACTGATCCACCCAGGGGCGCTCCCTCAAGCCAATAATATTCTAAGGCTGTTTTGTGTTGTGGACCAGCGTGTCTGAGTGGAAACCGAGATGGGCAAAACCCTTGGTTTCCTCCCCGGTTGCCATGTCGACTATGCCGTGTCATGAGGGCCGTGTGCCTTCCCCCTGTGGCTCCGCTGACAGCCCGTTCCCACCATCAAGCAGCAATTTTCAGCTGCGCATTTCTTCATTGTTGTAATACTTAATTATACTTCACCTTCATATTATCCTAATCTTACTGATGCTCAGAGGTTAAGTGGTTTCCAGTTGGTCACAGCTACTAAGAGAGGCACAATGGGTGTCTAAGCCCAATTCCTTTGATTCTCAGTTCGGTGCTTTCGGACTTAAACGCAGCAGTAGCAGCAGTGGTGAAGTACTCTGCCTTTACTTTGCATCAGGCATTAAGCTAAGGGCTCCACATACAAGGTTATCTTATTTTATCATCGTAGTAACTCTTTGATATAGATATTATTATGATCCCCACTCACAGAGGTGGAAAGTGAGACCACAGAGAGGTTACATAATATGCCCATGGTCCCACAACTATCAAGAAGTACAATGAAAACCTAATTCTCGTCCAACAATTATGCTAGATTTGCCTTCTTACAGTAGATCGCTGCCGCCATCATGGTTTGCATCCATAATTCGGGTGCAAAATAAATGCAAGGAGTCCAGGGCTGCCCAATACAGCTCTCTACTGGAGCTGTGTAACACAGATCACTGGTACTGGGGCATCCTGCTCTTGCACGGCTCACAGATTCTCTGAGGGCACAGGCCACATATTCTCAGTGTCCAAACACAACTGTACTACATACAGACAATTCATAGTAACCATATGCTAAGCGGAACCCAACGGAAATTACCAAGTCTTCGTCAACACTGACTGAAGTAAGAAAGACTGTCTCCAGGCTATAACTGTAGTTTAAAATTAAGGGACAAAGGCATGAAATCAAAAGGCTAAGTTTCGACTCTTAATTCAAGGGAATCAGCAGAGCAGAAATAAGTATGTGACCCACCAACCATGTGTGTCCTGAAGCCAGGTGTTATTCAGCTACATGGCACCTTTAAATTTTGAATCAATGGCCAATATTAAAAATTAAGAGATTTTATTTAAAAAAAATTCCGCTGTCCAATTTCTCTAGAAAAACTAGAACACATGACACTAGATGGGGCATCCGCTCATTAGCTCATCAATGACAACGGGACCAGTTTTATCTGTTCATATTCCTGAGCCCCTCTGGGATTCTGAGGCTGTAAACCATGAGTGATATAGAGGGCAGAGAAAGATCTGGAAGTACACAGGAGTCTCCTAAGATTTGCGAATCACTGCTTCGAGCCGGTAGCTGACTCCACCAGCCTTGCCACACGGTGACTGGAAATTTCAGTCACTTGGTGACTGAGCTGTCATCTTTGCCTCAGAGGACAAAAGAAACCGACTACTCGCTCTCTAGCTGTCACCAAATCTAGACTGACTCCAGCGTTAAGCACTACCACAAAAACAACCAGGTCGGCGTCCCTTCATTGGAGGCAGGTCCAATGCTCCAGGCTGTTGTTTTGCAAGTGGGGCGAGGAGCTATATAGCCCACTGAGGTGTTAAGGAAGAAAGGCTCTCATGGGCAAAAACACAATCTTTTGAAAAAGCCACCTTGGTCGGCTTTTAATTGTCACCAGGGTGTAGGCAAAAAGTTGGCGTTTGTGCTGGCCAACCCCCTTCTGGGGAGGTGAGCAGGGTTTTCTTCCTGAAAAATTCTGTGGTCTCTGCAGCTGTGCTCCTATTCAGGAAGACCAGGGTCTGCAGAGTTGCAAGCAGGGAGGTAAATATGCATTTGAGAAAGTCTTTAATTACTAAATCAAACAGGTTTATGCAATCCAAATACAGCCACCGGTGAACTACACTGGTATTAAAAGGAGACTGCCCTTACAGAAATTTTGGATTTTATAAAGATCAGGAAAATACTTCTTCAATTAGTCGCTGGCTTGCTATTCAATCCTATGCCTTAAATAATCTAGACATTTACGGGCTCTTGTCTGCGTAGCAAACAAAACACTAAAAACCCAGAAGGGGTCAAAAGTATTGCTAGAATTACACATTCAGTATCATTTTATATTATAATCTGCTAGGCTTCAAAGAGACATTTTAAACATGCAGTTAATGGGATAGTTTCTGAATAGGATTTTTTAATACTACGCATGATTGGAAATATGCAGTTTCTTTCATTGGTAAAAAAAAATAATTCCTGCTTGTTAGAAAGTCTGCCATCAACTCAGCTTTACAGCTTCAAATAAGCAGTTTGCACAAAGAACAATAAAACTGTTTAATAAAAGAACATAATAGGCTTAGCAGATGTTGCAATCTTAGAACATTTTAGGTAAATGGTTTTTAAAAGGACATTTCCTCAGTTTAGAAACACACTTCGGAAAATCAAATTCAGTTGCTGATTTTATACGGGCTCTCTCTGAGGGAGTATTTGGGCCTATTTTTTTTCTAGCAGACACACAAGACTAAGCTTACAATGAACCAGCTCTCCGCAAAAGCCAGCCAGAGGGAGTGTAACCCCTTTAACTAGAGGACATACCCACGTTCCTGCTAATAAAGACATCTTGGAGGTTTCTTCCAAAACATCTTTACCATTTGTTTGCTGACAGCTTTGGGGTATGAAAGAATATTGTCACTTTCTTAGCAATGAATCCTTCAACATTTATTCAACACTCTCTAGAGGAGGATATAAAGATGTGCCTCATTTCCTGCCTGCAAGGAACTTATGTTCCACCAGAAACACACACACAACAATGACAAAATACAAGCTCATGGTTACATAGTTCCGGACGGCTGGGTTTACTAGGTCCTTCCTCTAATAAACAATGCCACCTGCATAACGCCAAACTTCTGAAGGCTGATGAGAGACAGGGCTTCAGCCCTCCTTTCCAAAGGAGGAAAGAGTGTTAAAGTTTTTAAATGTCACTTAATGTAACCCATCTCCCTAGAAGATAGGCAAGCACGGCGGGTAGCCAACATTTTCAATTGGGTGCTTATTTCGTAACAGCAAAGTTGGAAGATATACTCAATCATTTTAATAAATTATAAGTTACGTTTTAAGTCTATAGTGTCTCAGCTCGCAGCTTCCAAAAAAGAAAAACCAAAGTAGCAATCTTCCCATCTTAATGCATCCTTTTTGCCTTATGACCAATAAATGCCCCAACCCTAAACACTCACATTATATCCGCTACAAGTCCAAGTGGACTTAACAGCAATTTAGTGACTTGATACTAATTAGTTCTCTTACTTAACACAATGTTGTATCATATACCATATACCATAATACATCTATTTGTGAGAGAAGTCAGAACGAGCACAGTCCTTATCATTCTTAAATAATAAGACCATTTTTCACAAGAAACTTATTCCGACAGTGGCATAGAAAATGTTAATGTTCATGCTGCCACAATCAACCATTTACAATATATATGAGGGGAGAAAGAACCCTTAATGTATCTCAGTGCTCCATCTGTG